ATTGATGAGCCCCCGATGGCCACCCTTAAAATTCATCCGATTTATTGAATTTACTGATATTGCTACATCCTATCATATTTCAGAGGGCTATGTATGCAAATACAGTACAAGTAGCAATGTCGGACATATAGCAGGAACAAATCATCAACCATACACATACCTCGTGAGAAATTGACTTGAAGAGAAGTCTCCGCCTGCAGGATTCGAACTCCAATCTCCCTCACGCGAAACCAAGCCTCTACCGCAGAGCCATAGGAGAGGACTTTGCCCTTGAGTCATTTTAAGAAATTTAATTGTAATGACAGAAGTTAGTGCTACCTCCTTGATGATTAGATGGTTCCATTAACATTTTTATATGAATATGCTGCTACTACATTCGAGTAAACAGCCGCTGAAAGAAACTTCGTTTATCCATAGCGAACGATGGTTCAGCTCAGAATAAAGGCTGCGGGTAATGCCTGATAAGTATCGAAGTTTCAAAATGTGAACATTACACCAATTATGACGGCGATTCCATTCGGAAAATTTTCGCCAGTAACATTTTTGCGATCAATAAGAAATTGATTTCACTCGTTGATTTTGAAATGTTAAGCGATAAATACCTTCACCACATGCATCGTGTCATTATTTTTCTCTAGCCTAATCGTTAATCTTTTTCGTATGGAAGATAACGAGACCACCTTATTAGGAACGTAGACTTAAACCCAAGATAATTTGACGGTATAAGCAAATTTCACCTAAATAATTAAATTTCACTATCGAAGTCAGCGATAGAAAACCGAATTTTTACTCGTATCCCTCCTGCGTCAAGAGGATACTTTTCTTACGAGCAAGTTGTCATGAAAGCACATATTTCAAGTATTACATGGTAAAGATCAGTTGGAAAGAAGCTCAACGCTGACGCGGAGCAACCCAACAGGTATGAGGTATGAACGTGACGTGTAGTTAGTTACTCGACTCACTCGGCGCGCTTAGGAGACGCCGAGCCGCTATCGATTGCGCCAACGTAGCTTTTGAGTTTAGAAAATGCGGAAACTTGAGAATATTATAAGAATTATGAATCACACTTATTCGAACCCTTCAATTTAGACTCTGATTCAATAAATTAGTCTCAATTTATCACAATAATTTCAACACAGCAAGTTGGCGCATACGCAAAATTCGCAATAAATTTGCGCAATATATCAGGTGAACATAAAAAATTAGATTCCCAATCATCTTTCGAAAATCTTTATTTTGCAACAAATTTTCCATTGTTCCTCGGACAATTTATATCAGGAGCAGTCCGATACATGCATGCCCAGTGGCATCACTTTGGCTTGAAAATTTTGTGAACTCATTGTTGTCTACCTGTATTACTCGTACCTACCTAATTCACGCTAAATTTCCACTAAATTTGTTTGAATAAAAATATTAAAAGCCAAGCACACAGAAAGTATCATGGTATCGTCTTGATCTCGAATGACCCACAACCCAATTACACCTTCTTACGATGGATAAATTACAGTGGAAAATTCCTTCGGGTACTGTGCAGTTTTGGTAAACGGATATCGGTAGCTTGCAAAAGATATGCCTGCAATGCGCAATCGATGATACAGAACATATAAATCATCGATGATTCATCGATGAATACCACCTATAGTCACCACACTCTTGATGTATTGGTGTTTTACTGTCGATTTTTGGCAGATCTCTCCACCCACCGTCCAGCCACCTGTAATCTACCATCGCCACCTATAATCATTGATGTGCCGCCCTTAATTTTTATTTGGGTACACCTAACATTCACACATGCATCACTCCCGCCTCAACCCCCGCACCTTGAAATTCCCTAATTCCCATATGCCTCACTCACTCTACATACCAAACACTCCTCACACACTCTTCATAACCGACTTATGAGGAGTGTGAGGTATACCTCTTGAGAGGTACCTCGTACCGTACGTTTAGGCCAATCATCAGCAGCCGAGGTCATGGCTCTGGCGGGCGCTCAGGCTGCGAAGCTCCGGCTTTGCCGTGACTGGAGCGAAGCAATCAGCAATAAAGAAGCCTGCGTTGGTCCACCCATGAAATAAACCTTTCGGCCTCCTTTGAGAAATGATAGAGACATTCGAGAGCTCAATACTTGCCGCGCCTGAGGATCCTTGTCGCCATCATAGCAGAATATTTCTCATACTCCAGTTCGCTGAACCGCTGCCGCTATCCACTGTCGAAAAATTGGGTTCGACTCAGGTAGGTCCGATCGTTGCCAGCTTTGGGACACCGGTAACAAAACTGTGAAACTTCATGATTGTATTGCCCCAAAATCACGGTCCATGATGTTATCCAAATTTGGGAGCTTCAAATCCTAGGCCTATGTGCTTTCGAGAGCTCAGAAGACTACGTTGAAATATTAGCGATTGTTTTACTGGCAATGTTATTTTTGCACGGCTTCGTTGTTTTTTTTTTGCAAAGGAGTCTTAAACATAATGAGTTCGCGAGAAAATGTTTGTGTTTGTTGGCAAGGATTACTGCAATGACTCAGTGATGACCTCGGGATGCATTGATGACAATTTTTCATAGTTTAGTATGGCTCCTGTGTGACGCTGCCCTGTTGTCTAATCTTTTCGGAATTAAAACGCGTCTCTCCAGCCCTCCCCTGGTCGCCATCCATTACAGAAACTTTCAGCAAAGTCTCCACACGAGCTCAAGAATTTTCGACGACACTACTACGAACCAAGCGCCGGAGAGAGAGCTTGAAAAATATAAGTCTGCTGGAACCGTAACAAACGCCTTCAAAGTTCCTAAGTGTTGGCTGCAAAGCCTCTGTAGAATTCCCCAACGTGATATACCTGCTTGACATTAGACCAAGTTTTAAGATGCTAAACCTCCTCGGGGTGATGCATATCCTTCGCGGAAACTCCTTCAAAGTCTCGAAGCAAAGCTCTTTGAGTGATGGTGCCTCGCAGCGCATGTGCCAGCCTTGGCGTAGGCATAAAGCGCGCTCCCGGCGACTGCGCTCATCTCCACGACATATTCCGACGGCACTGAACCTTGAGTGCGCGGATAGAAGTCTCGGCTATTTGAGTCTGCTATAGATATTGATGGTTCATTCCCGATGCTTTTAATCGGTTTTTCCTCAGGATTCTAGATTTCCAAAAAAATATCTGTAGAATATTATTCTTATTCTACTAACTTCACAATAGTTTTCAGATTCAATGTGACCATTTTTATACTGAAAATTAAAAGATTTTGGGAGAGGGAAGACCATTCGTTGGTGTAGGTTTTTAAGATTTGAATTTGGAACATGGCGCTTCTCGTGACCACTCACATTCAGTGACGCCACTCACGGTGAATAGAAAACTTTCAGTGCATGGTGCCACTCACTGTGACTAAAAATCACAGTGGCGCCACTCACGGTGACTAGAAAACATTCAGTGGCGCCACTCACGGTGACTAGAAAACATTCAGTGGCGCCACTCACGGTGACTAGAAAACATTTCGTGGCGCCACATATGTGGTTCATCACCACAACAATGTTAGGGGTATATGTGGTTCATCACTACAACAATGTTGGGGGTATATGTGGTTCATCACCACAACAATGTTGGGGGTATATCATTATATGTGGTTCATCACCACAAAATATTGGGGGAATATGTGGTTCATCACCACAACAATGTTGCGGGTATATTGGCTCATCACCACAATAATGTTGGGGGTATATGTGGGTACTCACCACAACAATGTTGGGGGTATATGTGGGTACTCACCACAACAATGCTGCAGGTATATGTGGGTATTCACCACAACAATGCATTATTAATTTATTATGATGCATCGTCCCCTGTATTGCGTTGTCATTTGGACGGTTAAGACCTACCTTGAATGCAGGAAGGTGCGATGTTGTGGCTTTAGTATTATTATTATTTATTATTTTTAATTCTTTTTAGTATCATTATTACTTTTATTGTTGTTTTCATTCCTATTATAATTATTGATTATTGTTATTATACGTTATGTTTAATATAAATTATTATTATTATACAGTAATATCGTTATATCGTGTTATTATTGTTGTTATTACTTATATTATTATTAGTATTATTTTATTACAATCAATCTATCGCATCTTATCTCCTGTTATCTTATAAATCACGCCATCACTCTCACTCCAATCGTCCAGTATCACTCCTAAAATCTCTACCTAGCTTATTGCTCTGTTCAAGGTTTTAACAATCTTTATAACAATCACTGAACGAAACAATGGCATTAAACATTCTAAATTATTAGAATGTTTAGAAATTCTTCTATCGTCCTGATTTCAGTATTTTCCAAGTAACTATTCTCGAAAATTTCTTCTTGATCTGGTTCATCAATGTTGTTTTAGAATTATTTTTTTTTTAAATCTAAGAATTTCTAAGAATTCAGAAAAATTTCTAAACATTCTAAGAATTTAGAATGTTTAATGCCATTACTTCGTTCACCTTTATAACAATCACTGAACGAAGTAATGGCATTAAACATTCTAAATTCTTAGAATGTTTAGAAATTCTTCTAAATTCTTAGAAATTCTTAGATTTTCAAAAAAATTCTTTCTAAAACAACATTGATAAACCAGATCAAGAAGAAATTTTCGGGAATAGTTATTTGGAAAATTCTGAAATCAGGACGGTATTTTAAAACAAATTATATTCATAACAAAGGTTTTTATTGACTTAACCAAATCTTTTTAAAACCTCACGAACGAACCTGAAGTCGGTGCGACATTGTGCCGCCAACAGATGGACGAGAGTGAGGCCCAGGAGAGACAAACTAGTACTTGAATCAGCAAAATATCTCACTGATATCAAACGAGTTAATTTATATTTTTCAACAAATTAAAAATGTATAGAGATTTTTCAATAACACTGTGAACTTCAACGCAAAATAGGACAGTTATAAAAAGTTCACTAAACCTCTTGCACTGTTCAGCCGTCCGCGTAGGCGTTTTAGGAATATTGTTTACAGTGTCCCGAGATTGTCCCGAATTGAAGATGCCATGTCAATAAACTCGCGTTTTGAGCGTTGCATCCGAAGTTCGCGTTGGTGCTCTTGTGCTTGGTTAGTTTAATTGAGCAATTTATGAGAACTGTGATTCACAATTTATATTTCTGTTCAGTTCAAGGATCCTTTATACGATAGATTTTCTGTTTATGCAGCAGCACAAATGAATTAAATGTGTTGTATTATTGAACTTATTGAAACGCAGAGCAGAAAGCCACACACAGAAATCTGACACTAACAGTAACAGTACTTCAGGTTTTGTTCTTTCAAACTTTGAAATATATTGAAAATTTGTCCATTTTATATGTTACAAGAAGTTTGAAATCACTTAGGCTAAGACTTAGGTACTCTACAATCAGTGCAATGGCAATGCCAACATAAAGTTTTATTTATGCTGCTGTTACATGAATTTTCAGGTAAGTCTCAGTCTCACAATAAACTTGCAGGCTAGATTTTTTTGTAATCTATGTAACTGGCATCCAGCCCTATCACCATTGAATTTTGGAAGAGCAATTTGTGAAAAAGCTCACATGACAAGTAGGTACTATCATCATAGTAGCATGGTGACAAACCAGAGATTTATTAGAATCAGTTCATTTTTAATCTTGTCATTTACAAAAGATTTAAACCAATTTCTTATGTATGATAATGCTGGTATCCATGATACTTTGCTTGTCTACTTATAGGACTCAAGAATGAACTTGAGGGAGTCTAAAAAACTCTCTGCTTTGCCACTATGCATAGTAGCTATGGAAAATGTCTCCTATGCAACGGGATTGAAACCAAAACCAATTTTAAACAGCGATTTGCCTGTAATTTTCTAAAATCATCTGTAAAAACAATGATTTCATGCTCTATTTTCTAAAATTGCATATAAAAAATATGCTATTTTGCATACTGGAAAATTTGGCAGAAACCAATGTAAATCAGACAAGCCTTCAACCTAGCTAAATTTAGAATTTTCTATGTCTTTTTCCAATTTAATCTCTAAAAAAATAAGAAAAACAGTTCATTTTCATTTGTGATGTTTGAAAATTATCTGTAAAATGATTGTTTTTACCAGTAATTGGAAGAAAATTTTGCCCAATAATTCAATTTAACAATTGTGCAGGAAAATATGCCTGGTGCTTAGGATTTTATATTGTTGTTTTATCAATCTGCTTGGTGTGCCAAAATATGTTGAAAAAAAGTATGCCATATGCCAAAAACAGTTGAAACATGGTTGCTGACCCTACAATTTCATGCAAGGAAAATTTGCCTTGTTCAACATTGCACTCACTTGCACTGTGGAATTCCAAAGGGAAAGGGGTAATATATTAACTGGTAAACATAGCAAATTGGAAAGCAAGACCTCAAAATCTGGAAAGACCAGCATACCTCCACTTTCAGTCCACACAAGAATTCAATCAGTATCAGAACGTGTGCGACGTCACAGGCACTGGAATCAAATCATCACTAGAACATGTGCAAACTCAGTAAAGAAACTCCCTCTCCCTCAGTGAAATTTAAGATTGATTGGAGAGATAGAAGTGTGTTGAATATCGATTATGAGATTTGTAGCAGACAGACAAGCAAACAAGAAGTGAAGTTAAAGAGGAGTGTGTTAAAAGAAATTGAAGGGATATCATCCAGGAACTGAGAGGCAATTAAATAATGAGACCACCTCATTGAAGTACAACATGCTTTAATAAGTTCATTTGCATCTTTTTTTAAGTGCGTAAGACAATGATGTAGTCATGTCACTATCGATGGAAATCACAAAGTATAACATCTTCACTACCGTACCTATGTACATCCACTCACAAATACATGAAAAACTGCCTATTATTCAATTCACAAATATAAAATGATTGCTGCTGCATTCAGCTGAGACATGCAACTCCTTCCATTTTCAATCACGAATACCAACCTCAATATACTAAAGTAAAAAAATGAAAGATAAAAATTCTTCTATATTACAAATTTTTCAGTAACCGACATTCAACAAAATGGTTTAATAACCTTCATAAATGTTATTCATGCATGAAGACTGAGAAATATATTAAATGCAAGAATTTCAATCTAAATGTGTCGGCAAGATCTTCTGAAGGCGAAAATTTTGCCGATAATGCGTCGCCGTAGGTCTTTAAATCTTCATTCACTCTCTGCACAGTGGGTTGAAACATGGTTGCTAACACTGCAATTTCATGCAAGGTAAATTTGCCTTGTTCAACATTGCACTCACTTTCACTCAGCAGTGTGGAATTCCAAAGGGGTAATATATTAACTGGTAAACATAGCAAATTGAAAAGTAGGACCTCAAAATCTGGAAAGACCAGCATACCTCCACTTTCAGTTCACTTTCTCCACTTTCAGTATACTTTCAGAGACTAATCATCACTGATGAGTCTCTGCAAACTGCCACAGCTGTTTCATTGGAAAAACAGCGCTTGCATTATCACAGTAACAAGTATCCAATCAACGCTTGAACGCAAGCAACTTCAGTCACAAGAATCTAATCAGTATCAGAACATGTGCAACGTCACAGCCACTGGAATTAAATCATCACTAGAACATGTGCAAGATCACAGCCACTGGAATCCAATCATTGCTAGAACATGTGCAATGTCACAGCCACTGGAATCCAATTAGTGTTAGAAAGCTAGAATACCTAGACTGCCCGCAAATGCAGACAATATTAACGCACTGATGAAATAATTTAATTCTACTTTAATTACAAACATCAGCAATTCTTGCAATGACAAAATAATTTCAAACAAAGATCCTGAAATTTTTAATTGAATGGACAGCAATTGAAAAATATGCATCTAAAAATTACTTTTTTTTTAAGACAACATTTCTAAAGAATACAGTGTCTACAATGTTACACATATACAATGAATTTCTAATTTTATTTCCATACCTATATTAAAAAAAAGTAATTCTTAAATTTGTTTTTATAAATGAAAAAATTTAAAATTTCAAAATTATTTATTCTGTCAATTGATTCATACACTATCTTTGACTTTACACAAGTGTGCCAAATTTAAGATTGATTGGAGAGATTGAAGTGTGTTGAATATCGATTATAAGATTTGTAGCAGACATACAAACAAACAAGAAGTGAAGTTAAAGAGAAGTGTGTTAAAAGAAATTGAAGGGATATCATCCAGGAACTGAGAGGCAATTAAATAATGAGACCACCTCATTGAAGTACAACACGCTTGAATAAGTTCATTTGCATCTTTTTTTAAGTGCGTAAGACAATGATGTAGTCATGTCACTATCAATGGAAATCGCAAAGTATAACATCTTCACTACCTATGTACATTCACTCACAAATACATGAAAAACTGCCTATTATTCAATCCACAAATACAAAAATGATTGCTGCTGCGTTCAGCTGAGACATGCAACTCCTTCCATTTGCAATCGCGAATACCAACCTCAATATACTTGTGTAAAAAAATGAAAGATAAGAATTCTTCTATATTACAAATTTTTCAGTAACTGACATTCAATAAAATGGTTTAATAACCTTCATAAATGTTATTCATGCATGAAGAATCAATCATATGCAACAAACAAGGTGGCAGGAAAACTTTTGACTTGACTCAAATGTAGTAATGATGGTTACTGGTTAGTTCTCATTACGCGCTCGGTGGGTGTGGTAACTACGCTGCATTAACTGCAGATAAAACTCCCATACTTTGAGACGATAATCGAGTGAAAACTTTATGTGATATTCTGTAAGCCATCTTAAGTTCTAATAATGTAGAAATCACAAGGTTCACAGAATCTAAAGGTTTGAATGCTAAATTTTTTAGTAGGTGCTCTAGTCTAGTCAGTCAACTGAGACTACTGAGTCAAGTTTCATGTCTGAATCTGATGATGTCATTGTGCATTGCCTTTTATTCAATGAGTTTCTCCAATTGCCAATGAGTTTCTCCTCAATTTGAAAGCTGACATAACAAATAGGTGCAATAAATGTTTTTTATATTTAATTTGAAACAATTATGTTAATAGTAAATAGTATTTCCTTCTGTAGATCTCTCTTGCTCATCTGTGAGTGACACGTGCAATTAACAATCTTGGGACCTTCTCTGTGATGCCTGACTTAACGTTCATGCCAAAGCCGATTTCTGACGGCTTGCAAACTTGTTTCTAGTTGCCTGGAACATTTTTTTAAGGCGGAATGCTTTTTTTAAATGAACCACTAATCTTAGAATTCCATCCTGCTCACATGTATTAGTAACTACCATCAACCGGGACAACTCGGGACGGGCGGGGTAACTTGGGACAGTCCTCCAACACGGTGTAAAACTGTTTTAGTAGCAAAACTAATTGGAATATCGCAAAACTAAATATAGTGGTGTAAACGTCAACATTTTTCCTATCTATGTAGTATAAAAGAAGTTCAAAAATACTACATTTACTAGCTTTGAAAAATTCCCGAAAAAAAACAGTGAAAAATGATATTTTGAAAAGTTCCTTTCAACTTCCTTCTGCTAAGGTCTGTAGGTAGTAAAAAAAATATTTGCCACAAACAAGGTGGCAGGAAAACTTTTGACTTGACTCAAATGTAGTAATGATGGTTACTGGTTAGTTCTCATTACGCGCTCGGTGGGTGTGGTAACTACGCTGCATTAACTGCAGATAAAACTCCCATACTCTGAGACGATAATCGAGTGAAAACTTTATGTGATATTCTGTGAGCCATCTTAAGTTCTAATAATGTAGAAATCACAAGGTTTACAGAATCTAAAGGTTTGAATGCTAAATTTTTTAGTAGGTGCTCTAGTCTAGTCAGTCAACTGAGACTACTGAGTCAAGTTTCATGTCTGAATCTGATGATGTCATTGTGCATTGCCTTTTATTCAATAAGTTTCTCCAATTGCCAATGAGTTTCTCCTCAATTTGAAAGCTGACGTAACAAATAGGTGCAATAAATGTTTTTATATTTAATTTGAAACCATTATGTTAAGAGTAAATAGTATTTCCTTCTGTAGATCCCTCTTGCTCATCTGTGAGTGACGCGTGCAATTAACAATCTTGGGACCTTCTCTGTGATGCCTGACTTAACATTCATGCCAAAGCCAATTTCTGACAGCCTGTAAACCTGTTTCTAGTTGCCTGGAACTTTTTTTTAAGGCGGAATGCTTTTTTTAAATTTAGAATTCCATCCTGCTCAAATGTATTATAGTAACTATATTCATTCACATATGCATATTTGTGACTGTACATATCTCAATGCCTGCTGCCACTGATAGCCAAGGCTATGCAATGATATAATTGTAACCTCACACTACATGGCAATGCACATAGATTATTAGTGACTACATGGTTCAACATCAGCTACTGCCAAAACTGTGGCAGCTGCAGCTATGCAATGACATACATGATCGTATCCTTCTGCCTTGTGGCCATGGACACTGGC